AAATTTGGAGCAGCTGAAAGTAGTTCAAAATAACATGGTTATCTAAAGCAAGTTTGTTGGGTTTTTTTTCCTTCCTCTCCTTAAAAGAAACTTCACAGGAAGACAAACATGTAGTTCAGTGTCTTGAGTTTTATATATATATACTAGATACTATATATGGTTTTATATATAGTACTGTTACATTTACTGGAGGCGGGGGTGGGGAAAGCACAAAAGCTCTCTCATAAAGCAGCTGTTTGGTTCGCCTTTGTCTAGATGTTTGCCCCAGTGATCTGGGACAAAAATGGAAAGCTTCTGTGCACATTAAAAGCTATGAAGCCTCGAAGTTTTACATGTAAGAGTTCCCTGATTTTTTAGGTAGTGACTTACACATTCTACAGTTATACAGATATTAACTTAGCTTTGGGATTTGTGAGCAACATGTAAAATCCCATTAGACAATACTTAAGACTTTTCAGGAAATCCAGCAGGTTAAAGGTAAACTCATGCAGTCTTGCCTTCCTGACTTGCAAACAGACAAGAATAATCTGAAGGTGAATAACGTCTGAACTCTCACCTAACATGTGTTATAGATGAATTCTAGCAGTGACAATTTAAAAGTCAATACAAAACATTTCAGCATTTTCATTAAAAACTTTTGTTCTACATATATATATGTATGTATATCAGCAATGATGATGGCTAGGAAAGGACAGCTGTGAAAGCTGCTTGCTATCAGTATCTATGGAGTAAAAACTGTTTCAAAGTCTTTCACAGCAACTCTTCCATTTAACGTCATAAAGACGAAAACCGGAATGAAAGTTCAGATCTGTCCACAACAGGAAAGAAAACTGAACAAACATTGTGCTCTGGAAAGGACAGCAAAATAGTAACAAGCCAAATAAAGCAACTCCTTTAACACAAATGAGAGAAGCAGGTAATTCATATGAGAATGCACAATAAAATACGCAGTGTTGTTTCCTCACCTTCTGTCACAGAAAATTACATTTTCTGTTAAACAGAAGGTTATTATATTGCTATGAAGCCAAATAATAACTTAATATAATATAACATGAAAGTTCTACCCTTTCAACATACCTCCTGGCAAAAAAACCCAAAAAAAACAACGCCCCCCCCCAAACGGGAGGCAATAAAAATACCGTAATGTTTATATGAAAAATTGTGAAATACCTCGAAAAACCACCATACTAAGGACCTCTGAACCATACTTACTTAAGGCAATGTACATTTACTTACCTATTCAATGATGGCAGAAGTGAAAGCAATGCCAAAGCACAAAGTTTTCTTCTTTCTGGCTGAGTGATGTTATCCATCCGATCAACCCACATTTCAATCATGTTACCAAGAATCTGATCAGACTGCAATGGGAAACATAATTTCCTTTTCATTTAAGAGTACTTCAGCATATGTAGGAAATAATTTATTGTAATTTTTCTACCAACTGAATATATTACTCAATCTTGGACAGACACCATTCAGCTATGTATACCTGACAGAAGTAGCAAGCGACAAGTATTTTTTAAGTTTTCTATGACACTGCTCCCAGGCCTTGAACCCCCCTCATCATTAATTGTAACCTAGAAGTTAGAAATCCATTTAATTAATGGACAGAGCACTGATTCAGAATAGTGTATGACTTAAACAGATTTCCTATAATAGTCTAATGCATACAAAGCATATGAACTTACTCTGTTTCACCTTCACTGGTGACAAATAGCAAAAGGCTTGTCTTTACCTGCTTGAAAGCTATCTTGCACTTAAAGAAAACTACTAAAACTTCACTTAAAGACATACGCTTGTAGCCAAACAACATCAGTAATCTCATTAGTCAAACCAGAGCACACTGAAGCTGATATTCCTAGAAACTCAATGGAGAATGATCAGACCATTATTGCCTGGTGCAACATGCATTAAGGTGGAACAAAGGAAAGAAACTTTCACCTTGCAATGCCATGTACACTAAAAGTGTTTATATGACTTATTATGGGATGTAGCAGGAAGAGAATTTAGAAGTTATATAAAACTTATAGCGAGATGATTAAAGGTAATTGTGGGAAAGTATAAAACTTGTTACAGGATATTCAGGGGAAGGACCTGTGGAGGAAGAATCATGGCAAATAGAGGAAAAGGTTCCTTCAGGTCAAAAGAATGCAAGACTTCCACATGCAATCTCGCCGAAATACCAAGACAAAAAATCCTTACCTCCTGACCCAATTCATGTGCCATCTCGCTTAAAAGTAATGAAAAAAACCTTGCATTTTGTAGTAGAACTCTACCCATGATCCCCAGGTAAGTAGACATCACCACTGGATATCTCTGAAACAAAAGTAAACCAAAACGAAGGGAGGAACTTAGTATAATTAAGAGAAAAATACATAACATATAGAGCAGAAACACATGGAAAATACTTGCATGCATTTTATGTATTTTATTAATTTTGAAATGATAAATTGTAATTTAAAAGCCTCTACGAACACAAGACTGAGCAAGCAATCTTTGCCAAAGTTTCTTGATCCTTACAATGGGGAAACTGTAGCAATCTCAAAGTCAGTTTCTTCCAAGCAGCCAAGACATCTTGCAAGGTGATTTTATTTTAAATTTAAAAACCTGAATCTTAAGGAATAAACAGTATACTGTACTGTTAAAAGATTACTTTCAAAGTTAATTATTGTTCAAAATGACTGCTTACAATTTTATTAACATTAGGAACTGCTTAGTATTTCTGAAACTGTTCTTACCTATTTCACTGAGAGGAACTACAATATATTTGCCAGTAAGTAATTTGCAAGTGTCTCAAAATTAACTGGATATACTAATAAGCTCATTAGTTTATTACCTTTTTGTTATTAGGTTTAATTTTAAAAGAAGCTACAGATTTCTGTGTATTAAATTTGGCATCTATTTTGAAGAACTGCCTACTTGAAAAACAAATCCCAACATTTATCTGAAAATGTTAATTCAGTTTAATACCTTTTTCAATAGGGAGCAATGAAATTGTTACAGTTTTAAACCAGAAGACATTTTAATAATCCACTCGGCAGTTTTGTGTCTCCTTAAAATGCAGACAAGATCAAACAAACTGTCTTTTTTGTGTTCTGTACAGCAAAAAGTATATTGCTGAGTAGTATTACTTGACTTAATCTTGGAAGTATCTCATTTAAATCAATAATAATGGGAGGCAAATTTTCTGAAAATCTTCAACTCCGGAAAAAAAAAAAATGGTTTTGATCAAAAAATTAAAAAACACAGAGCATTTCACCCAGTGATCCTGCTAATTACTGTGTTGTCTCCTGCTAGTACTGCAAGGTTTAACACAGTTAAAAGCATACTGGATTTTTACTACTTTTTATCCAACATGGAAATCTGTTGAAGGCAAAGACAGAGAAAAAGGAGAACTTAAGACATCTAAGTAAGCAAAATCTTAAAACCTCTATCTCACATGAAGCATTCTCACATCCTTCAGTTCTTCATATTAGATATGTCAGCTAGAAAAAGGTCAAGTCAGTCTTCTCCTTGTCCACTTTTTCTCTGGTGTAGGCACACTTAAAAAGGAGTAGTGTAAGTATCTTTGAAAAGCCTCAGCAGAAAACTCCAGTAAATACAAAGGATCTAACTAAGCATAGAGTCATAGCACCATATCAATGTTAACAGTGATGGAATGGCAGAATAAAATTTGTGTTGTTTTCTTAAAATTCATGTTATTTTCTTAAAATAAACACTAGATGATGAAGTGATGGATATGTTGCTTTAACTCTTGCACTACTATGTTACTTTTACAGTCTTAAAACAGTTGTGAGAAATCTATCAGATGCTCTTAAGAGAAAATGCAACACCAGAAAGAATTGGGCCAGAATATTGAGGGTGTTTTCCTGTTAAAAAGGAAATGTAGAGTGTAGTTAGAGTAACTCTTACCTCCCCATCTATAATCCCCCTGAATATTGATGGCAGAAGGGGTTGAAACATTTGAGGACCCAAAACAGGGTTTACTTTTAGGACATTTTCCACAACCTTAAGAACAAAAGCAAATTAGACAATTAATAAAGTACATTTAGAAATCTTTAACCAACATTTTAAAAACTACATATACTGGTCTATATACAAAGTCCTGGTAGGACATTGACCTTTTAATAGCTGAAAGTATTTAGTGAGGTACCCCGCAAACTTGATCTGCATGATGGGCCTGATGAAAAATGACATGCCAAGTGAAACCCGCCTAGCCAAGAACCTCGTCATGGCTCCTTCTGGCCCTGGCAAAGCTGATAAGGTGGGTTGGAAGAATCTTGATAAGGCTCCTGGAAAAGCAGCTGGATGAGGTGCGTTGGCAGGGAGTGTAAGGCTTTTTTCCATGTCTTTGCTCTGTCACCATTTGTAGGCTTAAATTTTAAACTAACAATAGTGTGTGTGCCTTTAACACAGTAGAATAGACCAAACTTTTCTAACTTACTAACACGTAGAGAGAAAGGAATGTTCGGCTGACGGGGGAAGGAACATCATGGGACTGATAACAACTAAGGAGACAGTAAATAAGACCAAGGATGCCAGCCTTCAAGACAGCAGAGTGGTGCCCAACGTGGAGCAAGACTGGAACAGAACAGAAGCAAGGACATACCAGCTGCTATCGCAGCACTAGGACCTTGCGAGCGTGCGCAAGCACCGAGGTCATTCAGTAAACACAGTGGGGAAGACTGTCGGCGGCCACAGGTGCGAAGAGTGTCGTGTCCCGCCAGAGACCCCCACTCAGCAGGAAAGCGCATGCTTAGTTAGGATGCAAATATTATAATTAGTTCCTGGAGAGACACTGTAAATATGCATGAGCATGCTAAATCTACAGCTGCAGCCGGCAAGTAACGGGTGCGCTCACCTTTGCAAAACGATTCGCATGTGCACCCAGCTCTGCAATAAAGAATGCTGCTTTCTGAAACTCCAAACTGAGTCTTAGAGAGCTTCTCCGACTGACTTTTATGGTAACAATTTGGTGCCTGATCAGGGACCCTGTACTGTGTTTCCTACGGATGCGGGGAGTCTCTGGGACCTTCACGCCAGCGTCGGGGGAGTTTCCCTGAAAGGAACCACAGATCCCTGGACTGACTCAGGACCTTGGTAAGATTCCTGATCTTATTCCTTTAAAAAGGCATTTTTTCTGGTCCCTTACCACATTAGTCGCAGGGGATGCCCTGCACAGTGGGTAAAGGTAGTCTGTTTCTGGTTGTCCGGACTCTGGTATCTGGGTGGAGGTCAGGATCAAGGGTACCACTGCCTCCAAAGGGGGAGTCCTGAAAAGGTCCCCACTGGATTGCATTTTACAACACTCTGGAAACAAACCGGTGAACCACCAGGTGGCTTGGTCACTTGGGAGACTTTGGAACAAAGTGGTGGACTTCCGGGTGGTTCTGTTACTCCGGAGAATCTGGTAAAACACTGTAATCAATGGTGGCTGTTGTACAAACTGGATTTTGGGGAAAAGAGTGCTGTGAACAGCACAATTAATTGTAATACTTTATTCTTGAGACGAGAAAGAAAGTGGGATGAAGTAGTTTATGTGGAAATGTTTTTCACTTTGAGAAATCATCTGGAATGGCAAAAGGATTGTACTTTTAATTTTGCACCCCAGGACCTGTTAGTATTGTCCTTGGAGAAAGATAGTAAAATTCCCTTAAACGCTGTAGCTCTCTATGCAGCATAAGACAGTTATGCACTAAATATCTGAGGAATGTGGAGGAGGATCTGGATTTGGTAGCTCCCCCTGGAGAAGAGGTATTGTGAATGATGGGGCCAAAGGTGTTGACAAGGAGAATCAAGCACAAGCACGGGCAGAGGCACCAGAAAGGGAGATGTTAGCAGGGGGCTGAAGGATTTTGCTCTGCAGCAGGGCAAACTAGGGGAAAACAAGGGAAACTATGATTGCGCCTTTAAGACAAGCAGTGGGCAATGATGGTCCAGTCATGATAAAGATTCCCTTTACCATTGCAGATTTGAGTATTTGGAAACAAGTGGCTGGTAATTATGCATCATGCTTTTTAGAGTGTTGACAGGAATATCATCATTCTTATAGCTCGGACCACAGTAGAGCAACAAATAATGGGAGGCACAGTGGCAGGTACAGTGAATCTTCACATACCTACCACTGATCCTAACTGGGACCCTAATCGGGATCAGGATAGGCAGGCCTTGAAACAGTATCAGAGGTGGATTTTATTCGGTATTAAGAATGCAGTCCCCAAGTCAGTGAACTGGTCTAAGCTATAGGAAATAAAGCAAGATATAAATGAATCACTGGATCACAGAAAGATTAAAAGAGGCGATGCATAAATATACTACTACTGATCCTGAATCAGAGGAAGGAAGGAAAGGACCAATACGATTTGGGAAAAATAACGAATGTGGCCTGGGAGACCTGTCGCAATCGGACCACCATTGCGCTGGTGCATGTTCCCTGAAATGGTTCAAATGGTGGTGGGAAGGGGTTTGAGTCCCCAGTTAATCATATTATTAATCATATTATCATATTATTAATAAGATTATTAATA